TGCAACAATGAATGAATAGAATTTCAATATCTCTGTAGATGTTCATTGAAATGAAAAATAAAGAAATAAAAAAAAAAAACAAACAAAAAAACAACCAAGTGTACCTTAACCATTGAGCATTTGCCTGCTTGCTTTTGTCAGCTTCTTCAACTCAATCTGTGAGGGATTTGAATATATTGCCTTGTTTCCTATCTCGTGCTGATGAAAATGAAATGTCAGTGCCTGGGTCAATGCCTCTTTCTTCCATAAATATCTGTGAGTTTTCTTGGCATCATACAAAATATTTTATGTACTATTGTGAAATTAAGTAATGTTAAGCTCTAGTTGATTTTTTAAAGGTTTATTTTATATTGATTTTCATACAAAATTTGTATATATGTTTCACAATTTTCCTTCATTCACATTGTGTTTCATACAGTTATTCCCATACATTGTGTTTTCTAAAATTAATCATTGAACTATGCTCATTATTGCCCTATTTTTTAAGGTCCTGCCTGGATTTTTCCCATTTCCTTTATCCCCTCCCTCCACCCACCAAATTGTGCAACTGTGTGATTTCCCACACCCTCACCCTTCTGCTCACATCCCTTACCCTCTTGAACCTTTATCCATACTTTACTTGTTCCTCAATTACACCAGAATAAATTCATAACTGACCTTTAAGCAAGTTTTCAGAGACAGTAAATTGCATGGGAGGAAATTACTCCTCATCTTTTTTCTACAAAGCATCTGGTGGATTCAAACAGTAAGCAACTCTCTACCGCCAAGCCACCAGAGCTCTCTTTAAACATGTTGTTTGAATCCCCTTTTAGATTCAGACAACTGCTTTTTGATCCATGCACAGGTTCCACATGAACATAATTAAGTGTTTTTTAATTTCTCTTCTTCCCAATATTACCCAGAATTTACTATGTTTCACACAGTTGAATATCTTTGCATAGTCAGTAAAACACAAATTAACATTTTGTTTTGAGTTATCTCATTGCTGCCAAGGTCCATCTGACATCAACAGTTATGTCCCTTCTTCCAGATGGAACATGATTGCTGATGTCTTCTGAATTTAGCTTAAATTTCTAGAAATTCCCTTCTTCATCTAGTTTTTAGTTATCTCACACAGAATTTTACTTATGAATGATATTTATGATATTGCTTAAAATTTATATATTCTGTTGGATAACCTTTTTTACTTTTTATTCTTTTATCTTGATTTTTTATTTTAGTTTATTTTTACATTTTTATTTTATATTGATTACCCCAATGTCAGAAGATCTTGGCAGAAAGCGTAAAGTACCAGAAGAATGTCTATTTCTGTTTCATTGACTATGTGAAAGCCTTTTACTGTGTGGATCATAACAAATGGTAGGTAACCTTGAGGAAAATGTGAATTCCAGAACACTTGATCATGCTAAAGCAAAACCTATACTCAGACCATGGAGCAGACCTTAGAACGGAACAAGGAAAAACACTGCATGGTTCAAAATCAGGAAAGGAATGTATTAGGGATGCTTTCTGTCTCCATGTGTTTTAAATCTAAATGCAGAACAGATCATTCAGGAGGCTGAGCTTTATGAGGAGGAATGTGGCATCAGGATTGGAGGACTCATCAATAACCTATGTTCAGCTCTTGACACAATGTTATGCTGGCTAAAACTGAAGAGGACCTGAAGTGCTTGCTGCAGAAGGTCAAAGACTGTAATCTTCAATATGGATTGAAGCTCAGCATTAGGAAAACAAAGATTCTCACCGCTATGCCAGCTGGCAGCACCATGATGGATGGAGAAGAGATTGAAGTTGTTAATAGTTACTGCTCAACACTCTTGGCACCAGCAGACAGAAAGTCAAAAGACAAATTGCACTGGGAAAATCTCCTGTCAGGAACCTCTCCAGAGTACTGAGAAACAATAATATCAGTCTAGAAACTAAGGTGCCCCTGATCCAGACCCTGTTTTTTGCATTTATTTGCTATGCGTCAGAGAGCTGGACAGTGACTAAAGATGACAGAAGAATAATCAATGCCTTTGAGTTGTGGTGCTGGAAAAGAATCTTGAGCATACCGTTACTGCCAAGTAAACAAATCTGTCTTAGAGAGAGTGAAACCAAGTTTCTCCTTTGGAGGCTAGGAGTTTGAAGCTCTATCTTACTTTGAGCATGGGACTAGGTGGGACCCGTCCTTAGAGAATGACATCATGCTTGGAAAGGTGGAGAGACAGCACAGGAGAGGGAAATCCTGGATGAGGTGGATTGATAACAGTAACTGGGAGAATAGTAGATGTGTCAGTCAAACTGGATCAGGATAGGGCAGGCTTTAGAGCTCTTGTACATAGGGTTGCTAAGAGTCTCAGGTGATTCAGTGGCACATAACAACAGCAATATTGGTTTGCATATAAAATTAATATACATTGTATTTAGTATAATCATTCCCATACATTGCAGTTTTATAAAGTAATCACCATTAAACTAACACACCATTGGCCCATATTTTCAGGTCTCCTGCTGGATCATTCTCTTTTCCTTTACCCCCCTCCCTCCATTCAACAAATTGTGCTACTCTGTGATTTCCCCTCTGCCTACACATCTACTTTCACCCCTTAACCACCTTGGATCCTCATACATGTTTCTCTACTTGTCCTTCTGTTTTTTACAATAATGATTTAATGCAGTATACATCCTTATGAGACTGAGTTAGTTAGTTCACTAAACATAATGCTCTCCAGTCTCTCCCAAGTTTTGCAGTGCTTTTTAAAATTGTTGTTTTTGAGTACCATGTAGCATTCCATCATTTAAATGTACCACAATTTCTCAATCCATTAGATTGTGGTTGGACATTTAGGCTGTTTCCATGTTCTTGAAATTTTTAATAATGCTGATGTGAACATGGGTGTACAAGTGTCTGTTAATGTCTTAATCATAATTTCCTTGGGTTTGTATTTCTAACTGATTGGAAGCATCATGGTAGACAGTGAAGAGATTGAGATTGTTAACAGCTTCAATTTGATTGACTCCACAAACAGCATTCATGATACCAGCAGCAGGAAGTTAAAAGACAAATTACATTCGGAGAGTCTGTTCTCAGAGACCTCTCCTAAGTATTGAAGAACAACAATGTCCATCTGGAGACTAAGGTGCACCTGATTCAGGCCATGGTCTTTGTAGTTACTTGCTATGTGTCAGAAAGCTAAACAGTGAGTAGGGATGATAGAAGGATAATTGATGCCTTTGAGCTGTGGTGCTGGAGAAGAGTATTGAATATACCATGGACTGGTGGGAGAACAAACAGGTTTGTCCTGGAGAGGGTGAAACCAGGCTGCTCCTGGGAGGCAAGAATTCTGAAGCTTCATCTGACATACTTTGGACCTGTTGCAAGGAGGGACCAGTCCTTGGAGAGGGATGCCATGCTTGGGAGGATGGAGGGACAGCGTAGGAGAGGAAGACCCTCGATGAGATGGATTGATTCAGTGACTAGAGTAATGGGAGTAGGTGTGTTGGAAACAATAAGATTGGCACAGGATAGAGCAGGATATAGGGCTGTTG